ACAGTTTAGGTAAAGTTGCTGTCATTTAATATTTTTAATGGGGCTGGCCAGTTAGCTTGGTTGGTTAAAGTGTGGTGTTATAAGGCCAAGGTCAAGGGTTCAGATCCCCGTACCAGCCACCAAAAAAAAAAAATCTATGTATTCTATATATACGGTTAATATCTAATACCTTCAGAGCACCTTATACAGGAAGCATTTTGTGATCTACTTTTATTAGCTGTTAGATGAAATATAAATAATATTTAAAGACAGAATTAGGATTATGATCTACAAGTCAGCTATCACACACAAATTCTGGGTCAGTGCACATCACAAACATAATTTCAGTGCCTACCTGTGTGATCAGCTCTGTCCTCAGTACCAAGAGCTGCCCAAAGGTTTGCCAGGATCCGTGAACCACAGGACCCTGACCAAGCGCCCTTAGGGGTTTAAGTAAAGGCAGTGGGCTTCCTTTTTTGCTGAGACAGTAATATCTCACCAACAAGGCCATATTCTAACTTAATGAGGAACCCATCCAGTATGTGGAAAGTCCATCCCATAAGGCCTGAGAAGCTCAGCAGTGTCACAAAAGCCACATGTTAAGACACAGACATTTACTCTGCAGATAGTCCCACAGACCCTCAGTCACGATCTATGTGCTTATATTTTAGGCACAGTTCTAATGACCCTGGCTAGCTGCTTCAGGCCATGGGAGATTAGAAGCAGCGAATTTGCCAGTTGTTCAGGTTTCTCCCAGTTGGACTGTGTCTTTGTGCTACTAGCAGAGTACCTAATTTGTACTGTGTCAGAAAACTGTATGCACCTCAGCTGCCCTTAAAGTTACCACCGTAGTATGTTTTAATACTGTAGGTCTCATTATGAATCTGTGAAGATTAAGAATTATTATTACTATATTAAGTAACGTTCACAATTAAGATCCTAGCTCATCAAAGAAACCGTGACTTCCATTCAAGTTACAAATTACTCTGTTTAAGACAGAGGACAAGAAAAATATTGCGTGTCTATTCCCACCCCCTCCCGCCCACTTTGCCAGCATAACATGTGAGTTACCTGAAAAACACCATTGTGGAACCAGCTCGCTCTCTGAAAACGTGGCTCTCCCAGCAGCTTCCTGCAGGAGTCCCCACTGACTCACCCTACAAGATACCACTCCCTACAACTCGCTATTGGAGACTCGGGTTTCCTGGCTCAAAATGAGACTGAGCTGAAGGGCCTGAGCCATCCACCTCCACATGAGCGTGGTGAGCAGACCCGTGCTCAGAGGCACCTCCAGGGGGATGGACCTCCAGGGAGATGAACCGGCAGAACTGGAATGCCTTCCTCCTTACAGCGCAGTCTGACCCCTGTCCCCTCTGAGGCCTGAAGCTCCTCCTGCTCCTCCTGGCTTCAGATCAACTGCAGAGCACCCTGGCAAGGGGAGCGTGCGGTCTGGGTCTCAGACGGTGCGCCAGCGCCCACTGCTGCTCAGGAAGCACCTGCCAGGCTGTCCCCAGGAAAAGGCTCTGCTGGACAGTGACGGCGTGTGCACCACGCTCTTTGTGGAACAGCCATGCTACATCCTCTCTACTCCTTGAAACAGGCAGATGAACACACTTACAAGCTACGCCTCCATATAGGCCAATGAATAACAACATTCCTTATCTCTGGATAGCATGCTTCCGCTGGCCGAGGGCTTCGGGGTTTGTGAGCTCCTTTCCTGGATGGGAACCATGCCCCGTGTGAGGACAGGAGAGGGCCCGTGGGACAGGGCGCAGAACTGACGGAGTATGAACTAGTCTGGAAGCACCCTGGTGGCCTGAGCACTGCGGCCACCCCATCACTTGAGCTGGACCACAGCTCCCTCTCTGTGGGTTGGGCTCATGGGAGAAGGACCGGGTGTGCATATGTATTTCAACCATCAGCAAACTGTCAAACCTAAACACCTGTCCCCAGCCTGATTCAGGGCAGAAGCCTCTGGGAAGGGGGGCTGTGACCAGGTACAGGTGCTCATGCAGTTACCTCGATCAGCCAGGGCTTCAGCTTATCATCGATGATGATGTCGTAGCCATAACACTCAAAGCAGTGCTTGTCGTTGTTCATCACAGGCTGGAGAGACAGTGACCCGCAGGTTACATAGCCAGAAGCAAAGGGCACAGCCACAACCAACATCCCCGAGACCAGCAGGACCCTCCTCACAGTGCTGACTCTCTGTGACCAGGGCTCCCACCCTCCCCGCTGAGGCTGCCCGCCGGCCTCGCTCCCTCCCTGCCCCCCTCCCCCACTCCATCCCTCCCTCCCTCCCCGCCGCCCTTTGCTCCCACAGGGCTCAGAGACTGAGCACCCCTCAACCTGAGAGGGACCTGGTGAAGCAGTAACTGTGTCTCCACGTCTCACTCATCAGAGGCTGGACGACTAACACTGAATGTTGCTGCTGGCGCAAGACTGTCCTCAGAGGGGACAGAAGTCCAGCTCCAAGCTCGGGAGCCTGTAGAGAAGGCCTCTGTGGCCTCGCCACAGACACACACAGGCTGTCCACCTGGCTGCCTGCTTATGTATTATTATGTGTGCATATGTATTTCAACCATCAGCAAACTGTCAAACCTAAACACCGGTCCCCAGCCTTCCTGCCCGGCCTGAGAAACATCTGGCTGGGGGACTGCCCAGGCTGATTCAGGGCAGAAGCATCTGGGAAGGGGTGCTGTGACCACGTACACCTGTTTACTGAGAATGTTTGAATTCTCTTTGTAATTTCCAATTCCATTTCACCTAGATATGCCTTAGAGAAACTTCTCCAAGTGCAGAGGAAACACCAGCCGCTTGCAACAAAGCAGACCCCTGGTGCCCCCGGCCTGCCCGGATGCAAATCTCTGGGATTGGCCCAGCAGTCTGGAGCTTTACCTCTTCCCAGGGACCAGCTATCAAACCTCGGAGACACAGCAGCGGCAGTGAGGCTTTTATCCGCTGTGGGGTGGGGGCTCTTTATGAAAAATGCCTGATTTAAACTGGAAGCTCCTCAGGCAGAGAGAGCCTGGACCACCCTTCTCACTTGCTGAGGGAGGAAAGCTAGGCTCTGGTGGGCTGTGTCCTCACAAAATTTAGTGGCATTACATTTCCATTAACAGCCCAGTGTCCTAGCCCCAGCCAGTGCTGACCACTGTCCCAGAAAGCGTCTGTAGGATGGGAAGTGGCTAACCCGCCTGTCATTCCACACACTGCTCTGTCTCCAGCCCTCTGAGCGTGCTGCCCGCCCCACCAAGCTGTGCTCTCAGTCTCTCTGTCCCATCTTGTGTTCTGGGTCCAGGACCCCTACATGGTCCAAGAGCCCACTTCACGTCCTACACCAGGCCCTGCTCATACACCTGCTTCCTTGTCTGCCTCGCCCTAGATGCTCTAAAGACAACATACCTGGTAAAACCTGGGTATTTGCTAAGTGAATAAAAACTGAATAAATAAGCGTGGTGCTGATAACACCAAGGTCCAGGGTTCCATCCCTGTACTGGCTAGCCACCAAAAAAAAAAAAAAAAAACAAACAAAAAACTGAATAAATAAATCCCTGCTCCAAAGACCCTCAGCCTTAGAAATCCAACAGCTTTTCAGTTCAGGAAACTGAGGCCTGGGAGGAGATGTTCAGAGGTGCTGAGGTGCCAAGGGGCCGGGGGCCAGGGGGCCACAATACAGGAATTCAGATTTTCTTGATTAATTAGCCATTTTGTGCTCAGAGCTCTGCCAATCCAGAGGAGACTAGGCTAGGAAGGGAGTGGAAAGGGCTGTAGTTTAATCAGGCATTAAGAGTCACACCGTTGGGCCAGCCCCGTGGCTCACCCGGGAGAGTGCGGCGCTGGTAGCACCGAGGCCGCAGGTTCGGATCCTATATAGGGATGGCTGGTGCACTCACTGGCTGAGCGTGGTGCAGATGACACCATGCCGATCCCTTACTGGTCAGAGAAAAAAAAAAAGATTCACCCCGTCATGTATGTTAATAGATTAATGGCATTTAACTCTTCCTAATCATTAAGTTCACCTCTGCAGAGCTCACATAACTGCCACGTGACATTGGTGTCATGGTCCCAGTTTCACAGTTGAGGTGTCTGAGGCCCTATAGAGTGGGCACCCGAGCAAAGTCACCTGCTGGAATGTGGTGGGGGCAGCTTGAAATCACATCTAAGCCTAGAATTCCATACTGTTCTCCACCTGTGACCCAACACCCACACTTCCAAGGCACAAAGAGCTGTCAATAGGACAAGAGTCGTGGAACTCAGCCCGAGATGCCTCTCCAGCAATGAACAGATCCTGGGTTTTTCTCCCTCAAACCTCACTGCAAATCAAAGACAACGAGTGAAACCACTCTCAGTGCTCACGGAGCACTTCTAAAAGCAGGAAGAGCTTCCCTCAGGACGCAGAAAGTCAAGGTGCCCCCAGAAGTCACCCCTCTGTCCGTAATTTTATTCACATACAGGGAGGCTCAGTATAAGCTGGCGTGTTCACAGGTGAAAATGGGAGAGAAGGCCTCCATCTTCCACGGAGAAGGTTTCATCTAAGTATTTTCACACATGCCCACCGCACTGCCAACTCTGCACCACACTTTCTCCAGAAAAGCCACTTCACACACGCATGACCCTGTGGGGTGAAGCCCTTCTCACAGCCCCTCAGCTCCAAGGACAGGGAGACACGCCGCCCTCCAGCCAGGGCGTTTTTTGCTTTTCAACTTGCTGTCAATCCCTTAAGCTTCTGAAGTGTGACGAAGCATCTTTACTAAAAGAATGGGAAGTGCCCCGCCATCCCCCC